TGTATCTCTGAAGTGGTTGTTCGAGGCAGCAATCTCCGGCGTTAACCTATGCCGCCATTTTGGTTTCCTCCCCGCTTTCCTCTTCTTGATCCTCTTCTTCTCCAAGTGCTTGCAGGCGTACATCTTCCCCGGGGCCCAAACCTGGCAGCACAGACCTCCCAAAAGCCCTCGTTTCCCAGCACTTGGTACTGCCTGAAGGTGTTTTTGGTTATTGGTTGCCTTTCCAACCACTTCCACTGGAGAAAGTGATCAAAATACAAGCTGTCCAGGTACTCACGGAAGGGCCCTCCCCGCAGGTAGTCGTGGACAGACTGTGGACAGGCCGAGAAGAGCTCTTTGCAGGGCCTCTGTAGGAGCTTCTCCTCTGTCTGGGAGACAAGGTCCTGACCGACTTGGGCGATGAAAACTGGGGACTTAGGGGTGAGGTACTTGGTCATAATTTCCTTCCCTTTTTCTCCCAGTTTTTCATCTAGAGTAACTTCATATTCTGCCACTGACTCCAGAAACTGAATGTAACACTCCAGCCCAGGCCTCGCTTCACAGAACTGCCTGAAAAGCAGCCTCCCAATCGGCTGTTTGTCACATAAGCTGCAGTAGTCTCTGTCTATGGTCCTCCGGAGGTCTTCACACTGGCTAATGTGAGGGAACTTCAGGATTTCCTTCCACTTCTTGCCTTTCCCTTTGCGTTTTCCTCTGGCCCCTTCCCGAGCTTTCAACAAGACCATGTTGGCCACGATGTTTTCCAGCTCCATTGACAGTCGGTGGTCAGCGAGGAAGCCAGCGGGCAGGGCTGTGCTGCCAGGTTTGGGCCCCGGGGAAGATGTACGCCTGCAAGCACTTGGAGAAGAAGAGGATCAAGAAGAGGAAAGCGGGGAGGAAACCAAGATGGCGGCATAGGTTAACGCCGGAGATTGCTGCCTCGAACAACCACTTCAGAGATACAACTAAAGGACGGAACGGACATCATCCAGAACCACAGGAAGGCTGGCTGAGTGGAAATTCTACAACTAGGAGGAAAGAGAATATCATACCCAGACTCAGAGG